GATGACCTTGAAATCTCGAAGAAAATGACCTTGAGAAAAAATTATTCTTAAAAGATCCTTATTTTTTTATCGTAGTTGACAGAAATTTAGATGGCTCGTTGTTAAATACTATGTACTGTCTTCCTTGCCCTAATGGTACCTATCCATTTATCGATGGGTCGAGATGTTTGCCTTGCGAGTCATTCGAATATAATTATTACGAGGAGGATACGTATTTTACGAGACACCATTACGAGCGAATACAGAATTATTGTTCAAACAAAAATGCGTTGTTAGAGAAATCAAATAATACGAAAGTTGCGTTGCGAATGAAATTCGATAATCGTAACACGATGAACAGTTACGATGGATTCGAAAACGAACTTCGACTCGCCGCACGTGTCTGTCAAGTAAGTAAGTGTGAGTAGAAATAAGAAGTGCCTTTTATCACCGCAGGGATCATCAATAAGATAAATGATTCATACTTGATTTACATACTTTAACTTGTCATAAATTAATAACTGGGTAACCAAGCCCCATTTTGCATTTTGCCAAAGGAAATTGTTCACTATGACCCACCCAATCTGCCATTTTAGGCTCTAACACTTTTTCTGGGACATCCAGCATAACGAATAATAAGAAATTCAAACGGGTTATGTAAAATTAGTATAATATATAGCATTCAACGTGTTAAACGAAAAGAAGAAATGGCGAATGTTAACTGAAGAATGCCTTTTCTAGAAAACTGACAAACAAGCATGTGTGCATTTATCGAACGCGTGCATTTTGAGCCTAAACGTTTGTTCGACTGCATGCAAGTTACTTATGCGAGCCAACGGGTCATATCCACGATTATTTTACGATGAAAGTGAGACCGTGCATATATTAAATAGCGAACGAATCACACAGAAGTATAGCTTCGCGAAAGGTAGCGATGTATGTATAACTTATATGAGAAAACGACTTTATATACGACTTTAATCATGACAGAAATTCTCCATTTTGGTTTTAGAACAGTATATTAAATTTTACGATTGTTACATTTTCTTTGTACGGTGAATTCGATTCTATTGGTGCACCGAACATGCCCTGTGGCCTATTGGAACGCGTGAGATTTGGCATCAATCTTCGGAAAATATGCACTCTCATGGTGAGAGACTTGATAAGAGCAAAAATGGAATTTCTCTCTCCATACTTAACGTTCGTAACGGGAGATGGCAAGGTTCTGTTACATGCCTTACCCGTGTCGATCAAAAATCTAAATCGGGTAAGTAACGACCTTCAAGTGACCTTTCTCGATTAAGGTAGCTCAATAATATTTGCAGAACATATACGATTTTAATACAAATTGAACTAAACAATAGTTAAAGTTTCGAACTTCCATTTTCCATTAAGAAAATATAAGGTTTCCGTGAAAATTGTTTAAAAAAATGCATTAGAAAATTCTCATTTTTAACATGGCAGCTTATGGAGACTTTTGTATAAATGCCTCTTGCGATTTCATATTATATACGTTTTCAATAAAAAAATAGATTGTTATAGATTTTTTTTACAGGGAATACGATGATGT